TTTGTGTAATAATCTGCTGAACGGCCTAAAAACAACCTGCTGCTCTCAGGTTTTATCCGGAGGATCAGCTGGAGGTCTCCTGCAGTCACTTCTCCACCGATCTTTGAGCTCTTTGCCTTCATTCCAGGCACACGATTGCATAATTGGACACACACACACACACACACACACACACACACACGCACAAACACACACACACACACCCACACACACACAGGGTCGTGTGAAGGGGTGCAATCATGTGAAGTGGAGAACTTTCCCCCCCGAGCCGCTTTGAGGCTGCAGCCCTTTTCTGCCGTGTGTGCTCCAGTCAAATGAAATAATATTCAGAAATATTCAGCTCCTCTCCTGCCAGCAGAAGATGCTCCGGATGGGTTTTTTCTGAATGCTTTCTTTGCTTCTCGGCGCGCCACAAACACCGTTTGCCTCCGATAGAGTTCGGGAGGCAGGGACCCCATTGAGAGCGTTCCTAACCAATCAGAGCGGTATTCACAGCTCCCCCCGTCTCTCAGCTCTGGATCTGGAAACCTGTGCTGCTACACCACAGAAATCCGATTAAAATTATAGCACTTATAGAATAAAGCAGTGCTAACCAACTGGGATCCACAGTTTAGGACATCAGCTGGCCCCTCACAGGCTTTTTGTCCAGTCAGAAGAATGGATTCCATCTAATTACAACACAAGAATAAATGCAAGAAAAAAGGGCATTTTTCTTATTTAACCCTTTAAAGCCCGATCCAAGAAAAATAGGAAGAATGTTGGATTTTTTTAGTCTGAAGTCTTTCTTTGGCCCCTCAACAACATATGAAGAAAAAAAAACAGAAATTATTTTGATCAAATTAGCGTGCAATAAGTCAAAAATGTATTTTGGTGTAGTCTTCTACTGGCTGTTATCAGGTATATCTGAATGTGTACAACAGGGGTTTGAGCAAAGCTTTTACCACTGAATGATGCAAAAAGTCTCACATCCAAAAGACTTCAGAAACTGTATTTATAAAAATATGATACATTTGGCATTATAGGGTTAAACTTGTTTTTTTAAGGAGTTCAGACTAATTAAATAATGAAAAACAGAACTTTAAGAACACTCAATACCAAAAACTCTGCTTTCTTTCACCTTTTGACCGTAAAAAGTCCCGAAATGCACTTTATGTGTAACAGAAAAACACATTCTCCCAGTTTACTGGGGATGAAGTCGAGCTAAAAACTAATAACACTCACTTTGCAACTCGGACTTTATCGAATTATACAGCAGTTCACAGCACCAGGAGCTGAACTCAGAGAGAATCTGCTGGACTTATAAAGCCTCCCTGCACCAACACCATCAACCCTCTTCTGCCGGTACTTAGATGAGGATTAAATTATAAAGATAACAACATTTCAAACTTATTATTGCTAAATCCATCAGCACTGGCTCTGTGTGCTGCTCTGCTTTCAGCTGCTTAATTATTTACTCATCTTGCAAACAAGATATTGAGACAATAAAGAATATAAAAAAGCCTCCAGCTGGGAATAATACCCGGTTATTTTTAAAAGCAAACGAGTTGAAACCTGAGCTGGAGCTGAGGAAAGTCCTGGATATTATGACTCAGACAACCAGCCCGAGGGCCTCGTTTTCTACAGTTTTGCTTTGTACACAACTGCTGTGTTAGTGGATAAATCCGTCTGTCTGAAGCCGCTTTAACCCTCATCAGTTAATGAGCTGGAAACAAGTTAAATCAAAAGGAAATGTTTCAAAAAAGTTTTTTTAAATACTTTTATGAGCCGTAAAACAGACCTTAGAGGACAGAAGGGGGCAGAAAATCAGGGTTAAAGGAATGGACTTCTTTTTCTTGATTTGATGCAAAATCCATCAACTCTGAAGGAAGAAAACTCTAAATTTACACGTCAGTGAGTCCTTTAATGGTTAAAACAGAAAAACAATCTGCATTAGCTTGTTTCAATTATACCTAAAGGTGATTTCTTTTGAACCAATTTATCTAAATTAGTTAGAATTATCAGAGCCCAAATATTGTATCCCGAGGTCTGATTTATTACTATTTTTTAAATTCTGGGGATTAATGCATGTAAATTTCTGTCAGAAACTCCTGATTGGAGGTAAACAGAAGAAGAAAACCCCTTTTATTCTGCTAAGCAATGTTCTGAGGGGCTCCGATGGCGGTTCAGTCTTTCCAAACATGCTACAAACTCAGGCTTCTGGGTGTTTTTACTCATTTTCACGGTTCAGTGTGACAGGATGCAGAGTGACCCAGATACACAGCAAAGTCTCAGGAAAAAAAAAGCTCCTTTGTTGTCTTAACTATTTTACCGGCTTACGCTGCAGTTTGTTCCCTCATTCTGACGATAATTAGGACTTCTGGGGTTCTTTTACCTGTTTATGTAAGAAACCTTTCGCATATCTGTCCTATAAACCCATGAACCCATTATTACAGCATGTTCTTATGACTGAATTATCCATAAAAGCCATAAGATAAAACCATTATATTTCTTATGATCTGTTGTCCTGAAGCCCAGACAAAGATTTTTCAGAAGTTTTTCTTTGACCTGAAGGTGATTATCACACACATAATAAAACTCATCCTCGCTTTTAACACTTAAAGGAACTCTAAAAGCCCTTAAAGGTCAAACGCCTTTGAAATAAGTGAAGGCTGATGAAAACCAGAGCTATTGAACAGACTGGGCCACATTATCTAGTTTAGCCTTGTTCAAATCTATGAACTAAAAAACTGCAGCGGTGGAGCCAAAAAAATGTGTTTTTAAGTGACTTTTAGTCCAATTTCTGCTGAATACAGCCACTAAAGATCCACAAATCTGTTTGCATTCCATCTTTTTCAATTTGAGCCTTTTTAACCAAAGAATTTTTACAATAATTCACTTTGATCTGTGACTTCAATCTGTAAAAGGAAAAGGAAAGCTTCAGCTCTCACTGGCAGATGTAAAAAATGGAAATATAGAAGCCCACCAGAGGTCTGGCATTATCTGGACTCTCTCCACTACAGAGTGTACTTGTTTGTAAAAGCTCTGTCATTTGGCTTAAAGGAGATAAAGTTGTAGGTACACAACACCACTTATCCAACTTTCCGAAAGATTCAAGCTGGAAAACAAAAAGCTGCAAACACCTTCCTGTTTGTCCAAGAAAAACTAAAGATCCTCATTTCCCCTCAGCTGGACTCAGTTCAGGTGTGTTTGGGGTCAATACACAAACCACAGCGCAGGTCAAAGGTCAAAGGGCCTCCATCTTGAATATGAGGAAAGGCCCGCTCACCCAGAAAAATCTGGGGTTTCCAGATGTGTCCCCTCCCCTCAGTCCGATATAAAACAGCGTTCCTGCTCTCAAAGATCCTGGAAATCTGTTTAAAACGGTGGACAGACGATCACAGGAGGATCTGGAGTCAGAGCAGCGGGCGCCATGTTGGACGCCATGCTGGGGGGGGGG